AAGGAAGTTCAACGGTTGACGGGCCGCCTGGCAGCCCTCAACCGCTTTCTATCTAAGTCAGCGGAGAAGTCTCTACCCTTCTTCCAGATCATGAGGAAGACGGTTGGCTTTCTATGGACTCCAGAATGCCAGGGGGCTTTCGACGAGCTCAAACGATATCTATCTTCACCCCCTGTTCTATCCAAACCAAAGGTAGGGGAAACCCTCTATCTCTACCTTGGGGTCAGCCCGGTGGCCATCAGCTCTGTGCTCATCCGGGAGGAAGACGGCATCCAACATGCCATCTTCTACGTTAGCAAGACTCTAAGGGAGGCCGAACTCAGGTACTCCCCTGTGGAAAAAACGGTGTTAGCCATCGTTTGGACTGTCAAGAAGTTGGGCCACTACTTTCAGGCTCACCCGGTTCAGGTCCTCACCCATCAACCCCTCGGCGCCCTCATGAGGAGCCCCACCAGCTCCTCCCGCATGGTGAAATGGGCTATCTTCTTGAGCCAGTACAACATTGACATCCGTCTGAGGCCTGCCATCAAGGGCCAAGCCCTGGCGGACTTTGTGACAGAGTGTACCGCAAGGGCAGCCACGGACGGGGAACCCTCGGCTACCTCGGACGACTGGTGGACCCTCTACACCGACGGCTCCTCCGCGACCAAAGCATGCGGGGGAGGGGTAGTCCTCATTGCTCCCGAGGGCTTCAGAGCCTACTATGCAATCCGCTTCTCCTTCAAAGTCTCCAACAACGAGGCCGAATATGAGGCCCTCCTATCTGGCCTTCGGCTGGCTGCCAACATGAGGGCTCGGCAGATCCACATCAAATGCGACTCCAAGTTGGTCGTTGGCCAAATCTCCGAGGAATATGAGGCCAAGGAGGGAAGAATGAAACAATACAAGGAAGCGGCCAAGGAGTTGCTTAAGGTATTTGAGGCACACTCTCTCACTCAAATACCGAGGGCTCAGAACTCCGAGGCCGACATATTATCTAAGCTCTCGGCCGACTCCCCCGAGCACATCTCCAAAAATGCCAAAATTGAGGAACTCAGCCTCTCAAGCATCCATGCAAGCCCCGTCATGAACATACAACAACGCCAAGAGGATTGGATCTCAGATATCACCACCTTCATCTCCACAGGGCAGCTACCCGAGAATGAGGCCCGCGCTAAACTGGCAAAGCTGAGGGCTCCTAGCTACACCATCGAAGATGGAAGGCTCTACAAACGATCTTACAATGGCACGCTGCTTCGATGCCTTCATCAGGATGAGGCCGAGGTCGCAATGGAGGAAGTGCACAGTGGCACTTGCTCAGCTCACCAGGGACCCTTCTCCATGTCCCGAAGGCTCATTCTCCAGGGCTATTTTTGGCCAACCATGGCCAGAGATTGTGCTGACCTTGCCCGAAGGTGCACCGCATGTCAACATTTCCAGAAAGCCCCCGGCAGGCTAGCAGTCAACTATGCCCCCATCAGCACATCTGTCCCCTTTTCTCGATGGGGGATAAACCTTGTGGGCCCTCTGCCGAGGGGTACCTCCAACAACAGATACATCATTGTGGCCATCGACTACTTTACCAAGTGGGTGGAGGCTGAACCCCTCGCCAGCATCACAGAGGCAAAGTGTCGTCACTTCGTCCTCAAGAACATCCTCACAAGGTTTGGCGTCCCCCAGCAGATCATCTCCGACAATGGGACACAATTTGAGGCAGCCCCCTTCTGTGCCCTTCTGGAGGCATGGGGCATCAAGCACACCTTCTCTTCCGTTGCCTACCCTCAAGGCAACGGGCAAGTAGAGAATGCCAACCGGACCTTGCTCGAGGGCCTCAAAAAGAAGCTGGAGGCCGAGGGCGGTGGCTGGGTAGAAGAACTCCACAACATCCTTTGGGCCTACCGCACCACCCCTCGGCGAGCAACAGGTGAAACACCCTTCTCCCTTTGCTACGGTTTTGAAGCCAAAGCCCCTACGGAAGTCACCTTCCCACCCGAAGGGTGATCCAATATGACCCCGAGGTCAACGAAAGCAACATGGCCCTCGACCTCCACCTCATTTCAGAACGCCGGGAGGAGGCCTTCATCCGGGCAGAAAATTACCGAAGGCAAGTCAAAAGCTACATCGACGCCAAAGTTCGCACCAGAGAATTCCAAGTAGGGGACTATGTCCTCCGGAGGAGGGAAGCTAGCCATCTGACCGAGGGAGGCAAAATGGCACCAAAATTCGAAGGTCCCTACATCATAGCAGCCATCATCAAACCTGGAACTTACAAGCTCAAACGTCCCAACGGGAAAGAAGTCCCTAGGCACTGGAATGTACACCACTTAGTTAAATTTTATCAATAATGTAAGAGCGGCCAAGCCCTCATAACTAGTGAATGTACTATCTTATGGCCCAAAGCCTCCAATTTCGAAGAATGAAGATACATTCAAGGCACCAAGAACAAAACACTTATGAGCGGCCAAGCCCTCATACCAACTACAGGCCCCATGTGCTCTCAGTCAAGACCCTTCGGCACCCAGTGCCGGGGGTACACATCTCCGCCCTCGACATCAAAGATAGGAACACCAAGTGTTCCTACAGAAGACCCCTCGGCACCTAGTGCCGGGGGTACGCATCTCCACTTTCAAACATCAAAGAAGAAAATATAAGAACACCAAGTGTCCCTATAGAAGACCCTTCGGCACCCAGTGCCGAGGGTACACCTCCATCATCAACATCAAAACGAAGAAAAACACAAAATGTTTCAAAGAAGACCCCTCGGCACCCAGTGCCAGGGATATGCCCTCCCATCAACTTCCAAACATTTGTTGGGAAACACCAAGTGTTTCATTTGAAGACCCTTCGGTACCAGGTACCGAGGGTAGACACCTCCATCAATTGCAACAAAAGAGAACACCAAGTGTTCCTACAGAAGATCCCTCGGTACCAAGTACCGGGGGCTACACATCGAAACTAATACCAAGTGTTGTTTCTAAAAGCCGTACCCCACGAGGACGCATATACCGAAGGCGCCACCATCGGTACCGGCGGCATGTAGTGCCCCCGGCCATTTGCAACTAGTGTGCAAATGAAAACCCTTCCTTGAAACGCTTTCCGCGTCACTATCCCAGGGTATGACAGGCATGAGAAATGCCCAGGATTCGACTTTCAAAAACGGAACGCTATCCGCGTCATCACCCCAAGGGTGTGACAGGCACGAGAAATGCCCAAGATTCGACTTCCAAACCGAAACGCTCCCCGCGCCACCACCCCAAGGGTGTGGCAGGCCACGGACTATGTCTAGCGCCGAGGGGACGACTTTAAAAAATGAGGCGCTTTCCGCGCCATCCCCCAAGGGGAGGCAGGTTACGGACCACCATATCTTGTGCCCAGGAAACGACCCTCGATCCCCTCGGATCTCGGAAGGTTAACCCGAGGGAGGAGAGCCATTGGTGTATTCTGATGGTCTCCTAATAGGCCAAGCCTTACCAAGAAACCAAGTTTCTTGATGCCTTCCCTTCACCACCAACCAAAAAAAAGGGGGGGGGGGTGAGGGGGAGTAGACTCAGCGAGAAATCAAAGAGTACACTCCAACAGATCACAACATGCCGAGGGCTCCCCACGGGAACACCTCCGGTAATTGAAGGCTCCTAGTTCCCGAAGGATACTACTCAAACAAATATCATCAGGAAACGGCTAAGTCCACTGCCTGGTCACCTCCGGTCGCACAAGCACCGAAGGCTTCAACAATACAAAGGGACTGGACTATCCAAAGTCTACTAAACGGTAATTCAAACAAATGCCGAGGGCACCCTACCCCATGACAAGGGACACAACTGGCTAAGTCAAAACTCTACAACTTTTCAAGTATGTGTCGAGGGCACACACTCCTCATTGACTTTCTTCACAACAACATGGTTCCACACTTTTCCTAAGTCCACACTTTTGAAAAATGACTGCAACCGGAGGTTAATATGTCACCAGACAACCAAAGGCTGTGAAATTTTGCTAAAGTTCCACATATTTGGCCCTCGATCAAATATCCACACAACTCAAAGGGCCCCACGATCACCCGAAGGGTCCTATTCACATACCCGGAGGGCTCTGCATCCGGAAGCTCGATATCACTTTACGCTTAAAAAATATTCTAAGTCCTAAAGGAATAGCCCCCGGGCATCTCGCAAAGTGATGTAGAATCGGAGGGCACACACAAGGAAGCAACACTTGGAGAAAATTCTAAGTCCTAAAGATTGGGCCCCCGGCCCAATCAATATTACAGCTAAATGAATACGACAGTCGAAGGCTATGCATCAAGAAGGGATGCCATCTCCCGAAGGCTCCCGAGGGAAAAGCCACGCTTAGAATTTTTTTTAAATCCTGCATATTTCCCCCCAGTCAACTACTCATACATCATGAAGGGATGCCATCTCCCGAAGGCTCCCAAGGGAAACTCTACACTTAGAAGATTTTCTAAGTCCTACATATTTCACCCTCATCTCAAGGGACCTAATTGCCGAAGGCTACCTATCAATCGAAGGCTACAGTACACAAGGAATCAACACTGAAGAAAATTTTCTAAGTCCTACAGAATTGGCCCCCGGCCTAATCAATATTTCAGTTGGGGCTCCACAGTAGCCGAAGGCTACGTGACATACTACATTTGCGAAAATTTTCTAAGTCCTATACATTGGGCCCTCGGTCCAATAATCACACATCAGGAAGGGATGCCATCTCCCTGAAGGCTCCCAAGGGAAAATCTACACTTCGAAATTTTTCTAAGTCCTAGGAATTGGGTTACTACAAGCACCCGAAGGCCCTATGGTGTGCTACACTTAGAAAAATTTTCTAAGTCCTAATTACGGCTGAACCCTCGGTCGCATATCCAGCAGAGGGTGCCCAACTACCGAAGGCTTCCAAGGGCAAGCTACAATCAGAAAATATTCTAAGTCCTAAAACATACATTCAAAGGAGCAAAGGCATACATCCAAAGCAAGACGAAGGCATATATTCGACAATGAACAAATCAAAAGGAAGCATATTGTATATCAAAGGCCCGAGGGCATATGTACTCATTCATTCAAAAAAAAGGGAAGTTTGATTGTGCTTTACAAAGGGGGCCGAGGCCAACAATTACAACACTAAAGGGGGGAATACAATTCAAGAAGGGGGACTGTAGATATCGCCTCGCTCTCGGCTTCATCCTCTTCACCCCCAAGGCCGCACTCCCGGAGGGTCTCCGAGTCTTCAAGAACTGGTCTCTCTTCCCCCTCGGGGAGCGGGATCCTGACATCTGGCTGGCGGGGGGAGGCCATAAGCCTCGGGACGGAACTCCTCCGGTGCCACCTGAAAGTGCTTCGCAAGCTTCCGGTAGATGAGGCGTTGGGTGAAGAACTCCCCGCCTTGATAGTACGAGTCGCCCCTCTCAGCAAGCCACATCTTTCCGGGGCCTCCGACCCACTCGTCTACTGAAGCCCCCACCACCGAAGCGAGCCACTCCCTCCGGTCTTTGGCCTTCCACCCCTCGGCTGTGAAGCTGGTCACCGCATCCTCTCGGGCCTTGGAGACGGCCTCTTCTTGAGCTGCGCGGGCTTCATCAGCAGCAATGCGGGCGGCCTCGGCGGCGGCCTCCCCGGCCCTGGCCAGTCCCTCATTAACCCCTTCGGCCCTGGCAGCCTGCACCCTCTGCTCTATGCCGTCGGTGGCCAGACGAAGAGAGTCATCGGCTTCAGCAAGCTTCTTCCTGAGGAGGGCGGCCTCCCCCTCGGCTACACCCTTGGCCTCCCTCATTTGATCCACCCTCCGGAGGTGCTCGCAGAGGCCCATAAAGCTCTGCAATTCACGAAGGCAAGAATGAGGCACAACGAACATAGTACAGAAGGAAAGCACAACAATGAACAAAGAAGGAGGGGTGACTTACGGAGGCAGCATTCAGGAGGACCTTCGCCTCGAGGGATCCCTCGTCCAACCGGGCAAGGGCTAGTCGGTCGGCCGACGGCAGCATCTGGCTCATCAGAGCCGAAGGGTTCAGACTGCCCTCCAACACGGAGGCTCCCTTCGGTACTAACGCCTCCAACCTCTCCCGCCCGAAGAACTCCTGATTGATTTGTTCCTGGGGGGTGGAGGCAGAGGCGTGCCCTTCGTCAACGATCACCACCACATCGGTGATCGGCTGTTTGGTAGGGGCGGTAGTCTTCGGCTTCTTGGCCGGGGGCTCGGTCCCCTTGCCGACGTTCTTCTTTTTTACGGGCAGTTTGAGAGGGCCCTTCCCTCGCAGCAGTTTGAGAGGGCCCCTCCCTCGCAGAAGCGCCCCTGGGGCCTTCTTCTTCCCTTTCACGTTCTTCAGAGCGAAGAGGGAACCGACGTCCATATTGTTACCTGCAAGCAACAAAAAAAAACACAAGAGGGTTAGATCGAAGGCTACCAATTACTACGTCATAAAAAAATGGGGAATAAGAGAGAACTATCAACGCATCAGTGAACCATTCGGTGATCACCTCCAGCTCCTTCGAAGACTCGATCGAGGGGAGGGTATCTTTCATCCGAAGAGCCCCTCGGCCTGAACTGCCGGAAGCCCAAGCTGAGCAGTTCCTCTGGAAGGGTGACGTCTATGATCTTGACGTGCTTGTCAGACCCCTCCGGCTTCCTGGCAAGCACTTTGCCATTCTTCTCCAGAGCTGCGCTCCCCACCTTCGGATGGCGCCGGAAGCTATTGCGGAGTTGGGCCGGGAAGGGGTTCTCTTCGAGGCGAATGTAGCAGAACCTCTCCTTCCACCCCTTGTGGGACGAGGGCACATCATCAAAAAGCCGGAACTCCGGTACCTGCTGAAGGTTGGCAAAGCCCTCAGCATTTGAATGTCCCCCCGGCAGAGGTTGAAGGACATGAAGAATTGATCAAGTGTGGGCTCGACCCCCCGGCTCTGACACAAGGAGAGGAAGCCGGCCACATAGGAGTGGCTGTTGGGCGTTAGCTGGCAAAGGGCCAACCCCACAAACCTCAGATACTCCAAGAGAAAAGGATGGAGCGGGAACCGAAGCCCCATCTCCACCGAGAGGGTGTGAGCAGCAAAACACCCCTCGGGCGCATATCGCAGCAAATCATCCGCCCTGGGCTCCACCACGCGCGCCGAAGGGCCAACCAGCATCTCGGTGGACTGGTATTCTGCCGGGGACGCCCTCGTCTTCAGCTCTAGAGCGGCAGTATTCAAGAACGAATGGCCCTCGGGTATGCCCACCGGTCGCCCGGCATCCACTGCCGCTTGCTTCTTCCTCGGGGCCGCCTTCATCTTGTTTTTCTTCCCGGGAGCCACACTGATGGGCGTCGGGTCCAATGGCCGGGAGGAGCTGGCTTCCCCGGCACCCCGGGGGGGGGGGGGGGGGGGAGGAATGGCAACCGTCACCTTCAGCCTCTCCCTCTCCTCTTCTTGCTCGGCGGTCTGCACGGCAAGGGCAAGCTCTTCGTCCTCGTTTTCTTGTTCGAAGCCCTCGGCTTCGGCTTCGGCCTGGAGGTCCTTCTCCACTTCCATGGCCACTGCGGCATCACCACCCGCCGAGGACTCCACGCTCGACGACTCCACATCTGAGCATGTCTCCATCTCTACCGAAGGCTCCCCCGAGATATCCTGGGAGTCGCTCTGTGATGACATCTGCTCACTAATTCGAAGGCTCGGGAAAACTAGGGTTTCCTAGAAAATTCTATCTCCTAACCTAGGGGCACAAGGCACAGCTAAACTAGAAGGAGAAAGGCAGGGGGGAACTGACCTTGAAAGCTGAGTGTTTACCGAAGGCTTGAGTTTCTCTCTCTAGAATTTTTGGCAGAGCTTCGCTAAGACAGATGATCGCACAAGAAGAAAGGGCTCTGGCCTTGGGGTATTTATAGGCGATGGAATCCGGGCTTGGGCCTGGATTCCGGGCCTCCGGATGGACCGCCATCATTACACACCGCGTCTTCGCCTAACCAGTGATGCCGCCCACGGACAGCCAGCCATCACGCGCCACGTGTCCCCCCAACGGCTATATCCTGACGTTACATATTCCAACGGCTATATTCTGGAAGCCCCCGGGTTTTCTACTCCACTCCGCTACATCGAGGAGAGCCTCCGGGTACACTTACCCATAGACGCCCCCGGGTTGTGCCCCACACAGCACATAGCAGATGCCTTCGGGATCACTCCTTCAGAAACCCAAGGCTTCATATTAGGGCACCCCTCGGAAATTCCCTCTCAACACTGTAAGAACCGGGTAGCCCCCGAGGAGTTGCCTCATTGACGGATAGCCTATCGCACACAGGTAATGGGAGCCCTCAGGTATATTCATCACCAACTAATCAACAACAGTGGACCCCCCGGTAACAACTCCACTGCTGCCCTCATCCATCAGGCCCTCGGTCCCCAGATTAAGGGGCTCCCCTTCGGCACCCCCACGACATCAACAGCAGGCCTTCGACTAATCAACATATGAGCCCTCAGGAAAAGAAGAGCCTTCGGCATTACCGTTATTCTCCATTTTTGCCCAAGGTTTCACATTTTCGATTCATCATTGGGGGAATTCGGTGCACTCTTTTTCCCTCATTAGGATTTTTTCCCACAGGGTTTTTCCTAATGAGGTTTTTAACGAGGCATCCCCCCAAAATGAAACGAAAAACGTCAGCCTTCGGCCCACAACAGCGACGCAACTACTCTACTCCTTTTCACCACTTTACAAGTGCCTCAAGGAGTGGGGGACTGGAGGACCCCCTCGGGAAAATCATTAAATTACAAAATTAGTGAAATTCCAACAAAACGACAAAGCAAGCCCTCAAGTCCCGACATGTGGGTAACTGAGGGACTGCCTTCGGCAGGGACATAAAAGCAACAACTCCTCACCAACTTCAGAGATCACGACAGGACAACATCAAAGGGCAAGCACAAATTACTCCTTTTCCCTCAAGTACCTTTCGGCAAAAGGAGTGAGGGACTCCTGATGGAGTATATGGCCCGGGAACCCCCGGCCCACAGACTCCTACTACTCCAGCGAAGGCCCAACAGGCCCAGAAGGCCCAACAGGCCCAAATCACAGCGCCCAGAGTACCAAGCAGCCCGCACTACGCGCCAGGGATGCCTTCGGCCCCCTGGCCGAAGGCTCTAAACTCTCACAGAACGGGTTTCTCAAGCAAATTAAGAAACTGGGAGAAAACGGCGAAAACAGCAGCCCTCGGCACTGTGAGCCCTCGGCACCAGGGTGCCATCGGTTGGAGGAGCCCTCGGCTACTGCTCTATAGCCGAAGGCATCTCACTCGACAAGATATTCGCCTCACATGCGTACAGATCACCGTACCCTGCACAGACGTCCCATCCAACAGCCGCATTAAATGCGGCCACATGCGGCTGCCAGCGCCAACCAGTTGAGGTGACCCCTCGGGCAATGAGCGCTTGACACGTGTCCCTGTTCGGCATTTATTGCTACTATAAATAGCACCCCATTTCCCCATTTGTAACCACGCTGAAAACACCCCGCATTTATAATACACTCTCTCTCTACATTTACTTGCTCTGACTTCTCTCTAAGCTATTCCCAGAATAACCCTTCGGATATATACCCTCGGGTAGACTATCCATCAAATAGTAATAATAATAATAATAATAACAACAATAATAAAAATAATAATAATAAAAATAAAAATAATAATAATAATAATAACAAATAATAATAACAATAACAACAACACAACAACAACAACAATAATAATAATAAAATATGATCTGGTCTGGTTTGGTTTGGTTTGGTCTGATCTGGTCTGTTTTAGTCTGGTGTGGTCTGGTCTGGGATAAATTACAGTCCAAGTAAAAACAACCTTACCTCTCAAGTTACACGCTTCTTTTTATTTTTATTTGTTTAAAGCTGATGATACTACATATTTAGTAATCAAATAAGAAATTCTATTGAATCTAAAAAAAACTCGAATATGTTTAAAAGAATTGATTATCCCTCCATTATATACTCCGTATTATGCATGTTGCGTTAGATGTGTAGACATACTAGAAAGGACCGTGTACGGAATGAGTCAATCAGGCAAATGGCGGGAGTAGCTCGTATTGAAGATCGATAAGATGCGACAGTCTCGCCTATGGCGATCTGGTCATGTGCGTAGAAGACCGAGTGATGCACATGCCAGAAAAGTTGAGATGCGTGGAGAAGATGCAGGGAAGAGAGGTAGAGGAAGACCCGAACAGACGTGAATTAGAGGAGTCAGAAGTGATATACTTCTTCGTGAGTATCCATGTGGAAGATTGATTTCTTATTATCTTTTTTCCCTTATCTTCATTTTCTTTTCTTTTTATCATTTTATCTTTACACACACACACATGCAAATTTTCTTTTTATCCTTTTTATTCTATCATGTTTTTGTATATCCATCTATTTTTACATTATCCTTTTTATCATAGTTTGTCCTTTTATCTTTCTTTCGTTTCTTTCTTTTCATTTTAATGTGGATATCATGTATCGATTCATGTTAGCCGACTCCAATACTTTTGGTATTAAAGCTTGAATGTTGTTGTATATACTATGCATATGTAACATTAATAATTAAAATTAATATATTCAGAAATTAAATTAAAAGTTCCGGTCGATTGCAAACAATAAATTTGAAAATGACCACAACTCTTATACTATCCTATTACATTAGGAACTAAATGAGATCAAAGTTGAGTATGTTTTGTAAATATTGGATTTAATGCACCAATAATATACTACGTATAAATTATGCGCATTACTCGGCCCCTTCTGTATTATGATTAATCACGTCAAACTTCCTTGAAGAATAACATTAACCAACTTGAAAATCGCATGTCTTGATATTATAGTTGAATATGTAAATAAATTTATCAAAATCTCTGAATTATACAAAAAACATTAATCATTTTTCTTTTTTTCGCCAAATAAGAGGGCAAGTCTTTGACACAAACTTAGTTTCCTATGGCATCATGGCATATTGTATTTTCATAGAACCATAAAAATTCAAAGAAATGAGACAATCCAAAAAATATCAGACATAAACCATTTTTTTAAAAAATATTTCAATAATTACAAAATAAAAACTATTGGGGGAAAAATTAAAATCATTTAAAGCGCCAAAAAAAAATTATATGAGTTTTTAGAAAAATAAACAAACCAACATCGGGAAAAAAGTTTGCCAAAATTTCGAAATTATCCTAAAAATCCGAGTATTATTAAAAAGTTAAAAGTTTGAGATTAAAAAACTGAGACAATGAGTTAATATTTAAAAAATAGACATACCAATACAACAGCAAGATATCTATACATCTCTTTCTAATGACAACCAAACAATATTGATAGCTTGGACCTGAAAAAATAATTCACATGAGAGAAAAACAACTCCATACAAAAACAGCTCAAATACATTTTTATGCACTTGGCAATTATTTGCTCAACCGTAAACATGAAAAATGTACCGGCGAGTGTGTATAAGTCAAGATGTACAGATTAATCTTGACTAATTATCTTCACAATAACTCAATAGTTTATACGTAGTACTAGACAGTCAAACTGAACTTGGTAACATGTTACATGATTTCGCCATGACTAAGGAGAGTTCATTCTGTTGTTGCATGACAATACATACATAGAGTTTTGATCACACTTGATTTTCAAAACAGAGAAATTTTTCGAGCCGGAAATCATGTTTATCATTGCAAAAGGTTGATTTGCACAATCTGATTTCCAGCCGTAAAATGTGTCTAAAAAACCTGTATGATCAAAACTCTATATATTTGGCTTCAATAACAAACTGACATCTCTTTCGTCCCGCAAAACCAACTCCACATCAAAAGAATAACTTGAGAGCATATTTATATATTTGTGTGGAAAGTCATAATATAATGGCCTTAAGAATTGAATGTTGAAGTTGCTATTTATAATGTGTACATATGAGGTACTCTTCTTCTTAGGTACTGCCACTAGGATATCTACACCCTGCATAACCTGGAAAACCATCACATTCAGGAGTTTGAGATATACACATCCGAAAAACAATGTGAATTTGTTTAACAGAATATGATCTTCTAACCCAACAGTTGGATAGTATTTAACTCAATAAATTCCAAGTCCAATGACTATTATATCATTCTTACTTTTTGTCTTCAACTTCTATCTATACAGTATACACTTTCCAACTTCTATCTGACCACTATTTGATTCATTTATTTTCAATTTCCAATGTAAAATGTCCAGAATGACCATAACAGACAACAAATCTATAGCCGTGTAACAAAAAAAAAGAGTAAAAACTGTACTCAAAATTAATGATGTTCTCATAGTGGTGGGACCAAAAGTGGAATTAATTCTATTTGAGTGGTCAGAATAGAAGACCACGTCCCCTGTATTCACATGAGCAATTGTGTGATAAACTTAAGAACTTACTGGGATCCTTTGATGAGAGCATGGCTGTCTGTGAGAAATCACAATTCCAAGGGTTTCGGCCTGCAGTTTGGTAGAGAAGATTCATAGCATAGGCAGCATGAGACACGAGTGTGTTCGGGCTGAAACACGGCCCACTGGTCTGGATTGGGCTACAATCAAACCCATGCCCACAAACGTAATCTATATTTGCTTGCAATTGGGCGTCCGATACACCGTCCTTTGGCACACACCAAGCATTACCCTTAGGTGTTGGTGTCGATGGAGTCTTTACACGAAAAAGAACACAACATAATGATTAAAACAGGTGTTTACTAGAAAATAATAATAAATAGAGTTTTTGACACTTGTAGTCTTACTATTGTGTGATAGTTTTGGTACTCAACTTTTGAGACGTGTCTTTAATTTTTCCACTTTTACTCCGACTATTATGAAAGTGAAAGATATACTCTGTCCAAAAGCATCATCATTATAATAGTTGAAGGGCCGCCAATGTCACTTTTCTGACAGCCGGACTAAAAATGCGTAGTGTGAAGACGTCTCAGTCATAAGAAGGCTCTACAGAATCATTTTGCATGAAGCCATGAACTGATTCCAAAGAAGGAGTGTTTCTTTAAAGAATATAAGTACTTTACATTAAAAAGAATTGTTTGACAAAGTTACGCATTTTATTCTTTAAATAAACACTGTGTGCTTATTCTAAAAAGGGCCAGATTGGACAATTTTAAAATGAGAATCTAACTTCCTTAGCAAACAATATGACCCATGGAGGAGACACACAGTCATGCAATGCTAAGGAACTCCATTGAAACAAGTGAATAATTGAATAGCTCACCGGGACACTAGTCTTTGAAAGGCCGGCATCAAAGGTCATGGTTGAATCAAGCTTGAAGAGCCCAAATGACCTCTCAGAAGTGGGACCAGGCTTCATGTCCTCATCGTACAATGCAAATAGATAGGTGTCAACCGATTTCCCTGGCATCAACGGAGTTCCAACCGAAGACCTCAAGTGAGTGATCAAATTTCCCACGTAAGCCTTGGCATTCTCAAGGCTAGGACCAACCTCATTGCTATCTCCCTTGTAAGGCCACCCGGTTTCAGCAACTGCAATCTCCACATCCTTGAAGCCCATTGCATTCACTGCAGATCTTACAGCATCTACCTGTGCATATTTTGTGTTTCTGCTCATCTTAGTTTTCATAATATAATGACCTTTACTAAGCATCCATATATTTTCACAAAAGTTTGACATTTAATGTCTTACGGAGTTACGGTTACCAAAGTTGTTTTGGCTACATGTCTTTTTTACAAATTACAACGAGGCCAAGGCTGGACAAGTAACGGTGAAACCCTCGGTGGCATAGCTAGCACATACTATTGCGCTCTGGAAGAGTAAACGGTGAAAACAATGAATTTATACACTGTATATGTTAATATGAAGAAGGTTTAAAAAACATCAAATGCATTGCCATTACAAAAGCTTTGCTTTTTTACAAAAGCTTTGCTATTCCAATTGAATTTTGTCAGATCTTCCCATTTCAACTAATTTTTCACACAAATTTGTATGATTTCACTTGAATATCTCCATATAAAAGGATTAAATGCAAGTGATTATGGTGAGCCAAAGTTAGATTCTACTAACTACTGACACAGTTTTGCGTTGTGGTACTTAAAAACAACATACAAAGGAACAATTGGACAAGATTTGGTTTAAGCCTTGCCACCTTGGTCTAGTATGGCCCATCCATAGCTCCTCCGCACATGGAGGACTATACTTCGCTCGACCCGAAACTCTAGGTGTGAATTGCTAACACTTAGGAAAGAGTTCAGTCAACTATTCTAAGAAGTAGGAAATTCACTATTACGATGAAAGTGAAAACTTTAACACATAGATCAATGCATGAGAATGGTCAACACATGCCTATAGGGCTGTCTATTACGGCGTGTAAGAAAGTGCTCTTCCATCCGACCTTCCAACTTAGAAGCGCTATAATTTAAAAATTAGTAAACACTATTTTAGAGTTCTTTTGAAAAACAATAAAGATGCCGCTTCAATGTTTTGGTACATTTTATGGATTCTTACTAGTGTGGCAAGCATTTATGAAATGATAAAAAATTATCTACACTTTCACCATACAATAAATGAATGACACATAAGAATGTAGCCCCAAATGTACAAAAAAATGTCTTTCTATGAAAAATAATACTCTGTATGGCATAGTAATATTTGAACAAATATTTCTACCTAAAATTGTGCATAGCTTTTACATTTTACTACACAAGTCCTAACTTTTTTTGCTCATATTTAATCATGTAATGTAGAGTTTGGACCATGTGGGGCATATAAGAGCAAGAGTAGCCTTCAACTATTAGTTCCAATCGTTTCATCATGAAAATAAATTTAAATTTTCAAGCTTTAATGTGGTTTTGATCGCGAATTTATATTTCTCTTTCCAAGTTACTAATGGCAAAACAAACTTTCCAAGTTACTATAAGTGTACCATTATGGTCACTATAGTGTATACTAAATTAATAATACTCCTTAGTAATTGAAAAATACTAATAGAATCACTATATATAACAGGTCATTTATTGAAAGGATCATAATTTTCAACATCATCTTTGTTTTAGTAATATATCAATGATTGTTTCTTAATTTTAATCGTTACGTAAATGCAAGAGGTTTTAGGATGTTTTTTTAGTTGGAAAGTTTTCAGTCCATACTAGACCAAACAGACCAGACTAGACTTCGACAGTTATAAAATACACAAAAATCAAACATATAAGACCGGAATAAATAGACAAGGTCGGACTTAAATAGACCGTATAAGAAAATGCTGTCAACAAAAGTGGTATTCAAACTATTTGAAACTAATACTGAGTAATTGATCTAATGAACAAAAAAAATGATACGTAGTACTCAGTAGTAGTTAGGTCAGCCTGACAGAGCTCTACTCTAAAAGTATACCGTCTGTAAATGTGTAACGCTCAAAAATAGGCAATAAGGCGAGCAATTCGGTCTTTAGCCTAAAACGGAAAACTTCAAAATATTGGTTATGTGACTGACCTGGGCATCAAACATGTTCGTGTATTTCAATTTCGTGCGGTAATCTACCCGGCCGGAGTTGGGCTGGAATAGACAAAAAGCCAGTGTTTCCTGTCTGGGATCGCTCTGGTAAGCGAAGAACGGATAAGGGTTTATCAGGAACTGCGAACCGGTAGCGTTGTTGAAGCCCAGCAGACCTCTGAGCAAGTCGGTGACGGCTGGATCGAAGCTCCCGGCCGACGGCGGAGCAGATGAACTCAGCAACGACATCCCGTGAACCGTCGACACCTTTACTTTCCCTCCGAGCGAAGCAGAGCCAAGGGCGTTCGCCAGATTCTGCATCGCCGGCAGGAGTTGCGTCATCAGATTCCTGTCCCCGGAGTAGAGCACCTCGTTCCCGACGTTAATAGTCGTGATCTTGCTCGCCGGGTAGAAGGGGAGCACTTTGGAAGAAACCCAGTTCCCGGCGAAGGATGGGTCCGATGCCATCGCCGGGATGTCTCCGTTGCCGACTCCGATCATTATCCCGATGCCGGAGTTGGCCAGAGCGCTGATCATCGCCGGGTCCGCTCCGTACAGCCTCACCTTCTCAATCGAAGTTGACCGCAGCAGCCTCGCAGTCGCATCCGGCGGCGGAAGATTATCCGCCACCTGTCCATAATTGACTCCAATGAAAGGCTGCGCCCCTGCAACATAACCCATCCATTTTAAACCCGAAAAAGAGCGAAATTATGAACTCTTTAATTCATCCAAGAAAACCGAAGCTTTTCAGTTTCAACTTTCTTTCCCGAAGCGAAAAATATAAAGAAAGAAAGAAAGAAAGAAAGAAAGAAAAACAGAAAAGAGAGAAATCAATAAATATATACCTGCGACATGGAAGAGGAAGAGAGAGATAAAAGATGCTGCGAAAAGTTGATTAGCCATAACTTGGTGCTTTCTTGGAAAGATGGTGACGAGGAGAGAAGGAGGAACGACAGAAATGGGAGTGGCAGCTGGGAAGGGTAAGGGTAAGGTAGGTGGAGCTTTTGGGAGTACAGATTAATGGAGTGTGGGGTAAAGCTCTGACGTTACAATTCTACCGTTGCTACTGCAAGTAGGGAGACGGTGGATTTTTTCATCACGTGGTAGCGCATGTGGAACCGCTTCAAATCAAGATTTTTACAAGTTTTTGGTTAGAAAAAAGAAATTACCAAATTACGGGAATCTCCCGTCTGACAAGCCAAAATACGGGAGTTCCGTTTAGGTTACCAAATTACGGTAGTCGGAATTGGCAATTCCGACTGGAGGAGAAGTGCAATCCGACTAGAGGTAAGTGCCAATTTAATTAAAAAAACCTAGTCGGAATTGGGGAATCCGACTAGGGTATTTTTGATTTTTTTTTTAAAACAATGGGTTAAAGCGGATAAAATTTATTAAAAACCTAGTCGGAATTGGGAAATCCGACTAGGGTATTTTGATATATTTTTTAAAAAATGACGTGTTTAATTGTGGTTCGAACATTTTACCGACCAACTCGTATGTTTGGGAGTTTTGTTTTCATTTTATTGTTTGCACTACGTGTTTTATTTGTATTCCTTTATTCTACCAACTGCATTTATATGGTCACCGTACGTACCCCAATAGCTCCTATAAAATGAGTTCATTTCTTTTCAAAATTTTCACTCCAAAAAATAATCCTTCTTTCTCTCTTGATATATTTATTACATTTTCTGTTTAGGCATTCTTCTCTCATATAAAAATGTCTAGTGAGGGAAATATTGTTGTTATGGTTCATTGGAATGGCTCTACATCTCAAAAAGATGATGAAATAGAGTACTCCATACCTCCTAGGGCGGTACTATTCATTAGTGAAGCAGATGATTATACTACTATACATGAGAATGTTCTAAATCATGTTAGAGGCGACAGATTTTCCGAAATTAAATTAATTTACGGAAAATTGCCAAAATATAAGAATTCTGTATATGTTGCTTCTAGACTATGGCCCATTCACGATGAGCAGACATGGCGTCATTTTTTCCGGATCGCTAAAAATGAGTATGAGGAGTTGCACATTTACGTGGAAGCTTCAGCGACCCCGCCACAAACTTTGACGTTCCACGGAACTCCCAGAGAGGAAGGCCCATCATCCGTATATGGTCGGAGGAACAACCGCCAAACGTTTCAGAACTACGAATCTCCTGGTATGTGTTGTTCAAGTTAAATAGAATTTACAATGATTTGGTTTTATTTGTTGTCATTTTAAGAGTGTAGAAGTAGTTAATTTAGTAATTTGTAAATTTTTTAATTTTGATTGTTAAATAGGAATTTCACAGTAAAAATTGGCTATCTGTCTGTCTCATCTGCACAAATTCAATACTTCTATCTAATTACACAAGAAACACATTCTAGTTCAAATAAATGAAATAACCGGAAGTGGAAGTGGAATTTTAAAAAAATTTAAAATTTTATCTCCTGTCGGAACACCCAAATCCGACGAGAGCACAAAAAGTTTTTATTATTCAAATAAACTTAAAATTTGTATATAGCGCATAAAATTTCAAAACTCCTGTCGGAACACCCAAATCCGACCAAAGCACAAAAAGATTTTATACTTCAAATAAACTTAAAAATTTTATATATTCCGATAAATTAAAACCAAAAAATTCAAACCATAATTTTATTTTATTTTAGATAGTGCGTTACAAGGAATTGTGCTCAATTCTAGAAATTCAAGAATTGTGTTAAATTAATAATTTGTCCCAAATAATAATATTGAAATTTATGAATGTATCTACTTTGTACAGTCACAAACTTGGGTGAAGAGTCGGACGACCCAGACTATGAACAAGGTTTTAGTAGTGATGTCGATTCATCCACGAGCGATGATAGTGACGACGTAGTAGACACCACCTGGGCTAATGTGGAGCTAGAAGAACCATATGTTCAAGCATTAGATTCTGAGCCTGAAAGGATCGAAGTAGGCGCAGTTTACTGTTCATATGATGCACTGAAAGAAGCGGTGGCGAGAGAAAACATTCGTCAATTTCGTCAATTCAGAACGGTTGACAAAAGGCCACGGTCCTGGAAGGCGGTTTGCATAGACCCGACCCTTTGAACTTGGCATATCCAAGCAGGAGAAGGTATGACGTCAAAAAAGTGGAAGGGAGGATCCTGTCATGGCTCGGGATGACAGGCTCCTAACGGCCAAAATTATAGCCAGTGAAATCGCTCCAAAAGTGAAAGTCGACCCGGACTACAGCATTAAACTGATAATGTCAGACATATATGAAAAATTTAATATCCGTGTTTCATATAAAAAAGCTTGGAATGGACGCTTGATCGCTCTGGAGCGTAAATTCGGCAATTGGGAGGCATCATATAATGAACTTCCTATGTTGGAATCTATACAGTTTTCAAATCCGGGGACTGTTGTTCATTTGCAATCACAACAGGCCGGCACTCCTGATACGTCTGAATTCCGCCGAGTGTTCTGGTCATTCAAGGCTTCTATAGACGGTTTTAGATTTTGCTTACCCGTAGTCTCGGTTGATGGCACTCACTTATATGGCAAATACAAGGGAGTTCTTCTAGTTGCGGTAGCCATGAATGCTAACCGTGAGATATTTCCTCTTGCATATGCTGTTGTTGAGAGTGAGAATGCTGACAGCTGGTCGTGGTTCTTTGCAAGGGTTATGCGTGATGTGGTTGGAAATCACTGTAGTGTGTGCATTATCTCTGATCGTCATGCAGGAATTGAAAGTGCATTTAGAGCCTTGCGAGAGTTGAGATCGCCACAAGTTTCAAAGCGTTATTGCCTCCGTCACATACGGAGTAATTTCATGACCAAGTTTAGGAACGCGGAACTGAAAAAATTATGTTGGCAAGCTGGTACTCCCACAGAACAGGAATTTCACGACTGTATGCAAGAAATACGAGACATAAATGAGAGTGCTTTTCTATATTTGAATGAGATTCCTGTTGAGATGTGGGCCCTGAGCTATGACGATGGCAAAAGATATGGCATTTTGACGACAAACCTTTCTGAAAGTTTTAACAATGTCTTAAAGGGATGCCGCACATTGCCTATCACAGCACTAGTAAAGGCCACATTCGATAAAGTCGTCCAACTATTTGCCGATCGACGAAATGCGGGAATAATGTGGCACCAAGCTGGATTCTTGTATCCACAGAACATATGGAAGGATGTTCTTGAGCGGTCACAACGTAGGTATCACACAACTATTGTCCCGCACAATCGAACAACGGGAATTTACTCTGTAGCTATTGGTTCGCATGATCCAGTGACAATCGATCTGACAAGGCAGGAATGTGGGTGTGAGTATTGGAAGCAGAACGGGATGCCATGTGTTCACGCGTATGCGGTTTGTCGGTTTTTAAAAATAACCGTAGACAGTCTCATCCCAGCTGTGTATTCCTTAAATGCTTACATCCGAACGTACGCTTCCGATATTATGCCTATTTATAATTACCTCAATTTCATGGCAGAAACATCGCATACACTTCTCCCGCCCCCAAACAATAGATCGGCTAGAGCCGGTAGGCCACAGAGAACTCGATTTCCCAATGAAATGGATTTGCGTGCTACAAGGAGAGGACATGAGTAATATTGTAATGTATACCTTGTTGGGTTTTTTGAACTAATGAAATATTTGTTCTCTTTGTTGGAGTTATTGAATTTTTTAAGTTTGCACAACAACTATAATTAGATAAAGTTTAATCAGATAACTATAATCAGATAAGTTCAGTCAAATAAAATTTAATCAGATAAATTTAATTACATAAAATGTAATCATATAAATATAATCAGATGAGTTCAATCAGATAAAATTTAATGAGATAAATATAATCAGATAAGTTCAATTAGATAAAATTTAATCAGATAAATATAATCAGATAAGTTCAATCAGATCAATATTAGATAATTCCATATTTATTCCACATTTGTACAAAAAATAAACTCTAAACCACCAAAGAAACACAATAAGGGCTCGGATCCCTATCGCACGGCTGTTATCAAAAGAGGAGGGGCTTGGATCGGAATCGGAGGGCGGTAAACGGATACCTCCAGTCGGATTTTGAAGATCCGACAACAATAAAATTTTAAAAAAATTGTTTTATGGATACTAACTTTATCAGCTACTATCACACGGTTCAAGGAAAAAAGCAGAAGTGTGGACCAAGAACTTTATTTAAGAAGTGTGGAAGAAGTGTGGACCACTAATTACTCAACACCAACTTTTATTTAATGGATCAAGAACTCCCAACTAATTTTTTTTATATAAATAGAGCCGAGCCAGTTGGATCAAGAATCCCCACTTAATCCCAAACAAGAGCACCTACTAACAAATCAAAATTTGTGATCTGCCAAATTTCCAGGTTAGTTAATTTTCGGTTTTAGAAGTGTAGAAGTAGTTAATTTAGTAATTTATAATTTTTTTAATTTAGATTGTGAAATTGGACTTTTAGAGTAACATTTAGTTATAAAATACTTGAAAGTTAGAAAGTGTGTAACATTTAGAATTTCCCTTAAATTTCGGTTTTAGGAGTGTAGAAGTAGTTAATTTAGTAATTTGTAATTTTTTTTATTTACATTGTGAAATTCGAATTTTACTCTTTAATTTTAACTTTTTATTATTTATAATAGTTGAAATTGTAGATGTTTAGAAATTGCGTTAAATTTAAATAGTCGAATTTAAGATTTTAATTTCACAATTATAGTTATTTCGAATTTCAAAATTACTAGTTATTTTGGTAACTTTTAAGATTTTAATTTAGATTGTGAATTTAGAATTTTACTCTACATTGTGAAATCGGAAGTTTAGAGTTGTACTTAGCTATGAGAGGTATGGAGTACTCTAGATAATCATCTGCTTCACTAATGAATCCCACGCAAGAGCACCTACTAGCAAATCAAACCTTTGTGATCAGCCAAATTTCCAGGTTAGTTAATTTTCGGTTTTAGAAGTGTAGAAGTAGTTAATTTAGTAATTTATAAATTTTTTAATTTAGATTGTGGAATTGGACTTTTAGAGTAACATTTAGCTATTAAATACTTGAAAGT